GTGAGGCTTACGATTCTTTTGACCATTACAATATTTCCCCCCACGGATGTAATCCCTTAAGATCACGGGACATCTCGTCTGCACGGACCTCGGTTGCCACAATGACACGTTGCACAAGCTGAACGTCTAATGACTCGGACGATGTTGATGATGATGCTTCTGCTCCACTGCTGCTGCTGCATCAGAGTTCGCTTGGTGGCTAACTCGTGAAGGATATTTCCACTGCTCAGCATCAAACGTTACAGTAATAGTCCGGGGTTACATTTCCAATGAATATTGTCGATGTCGTTTGCAGACGGGAGTGGGCATGTGTATAATTAATAGCGAGGGGTATACATGATGTGGTGTGCCGGGCAATGAAAATTTTCCACGTCACAGATGATTGATTGTCTTCATTCCGCCTGCTCTTCGTGTCCGTTGGGGGCACCTAGGCCCATTGGTGAAGCAGTCTTCATTCCTATGGCGAGGGCAAGTCCATCCAGACCTCTCGGCACCATCACCAGTAGAACAGCAGTGCTGCTAATATGCAGATGCCCTTTAACCTAGAGAACCTGAGTCTCAAGACTCATTTCGAGGAGGGTCCTGCTACGCAGGGATGTGTGGCCATTGGTTCGTCTCTTGTGCGGTGAAACTGGAGAACCCGCAGGGCACATACTGGGGGGTGTCGCAGTTAAAGCACCGCACAGATAGATTCAATAATCCACTCTTTTACCATCACCTCGTGGCCACCTCCCATCCCAAGTTTACGACACCGCATACCAAGTTTTAAGTTTGTGTGACCGGGTGTTGAGAACTCAAACGACCAAGATGAGTTTCAGTTGCAAGTGACCCTGGGTTGTCACCAAAATAATTCAATATAAAAGTTGAGTGCAGTAATGAAGCACCTCCGATTAGCACGGATGGCTACGTACGGTGCGAAAGAAGTTCGCCATACGGTACGTACATACAAAACAGCAAATCGAAATCGGAACGAAGCAAACACAACCGCGTGACATCAATGCCATCACATCGCATATCCAAGTCCTGTACGAAAGCAGTCTCAGCCCCGCTTTGCTTCCGAGATTAGATGAGACCGGGTAGCATTGAAGGGTGACGTGGTCATAAGCCGAGATTGTCATATCCGTGTGCGGAAATTCCACTTTGTTATGGCAGGGGCACAGTCCGTATGCTTCGGGCAACTTGTTCACCTCCCACAAAGTGGCGAGTCGGAACAATACATTCCCTTTCGTTTATTTCTGGGAAGGCTCGTTGAAAATTCAATGCCTCTTTGTTCAAGAGGGTCCTGCGTTGTTGTCTGTGGCTCGTTTCTCTTCCATGGGAGCGTTCTGCCGCGTTTCTTAATCCTCGCCGCGTAGACAGAGGGGGGGGGGAGGCTTCGGGCAATAAAGACAGCGGGTTAAGTTAAACTATAAACAACCACCCTGGCGTCTTCTGTCTCACAGACGGGAGACTGTGTGCGGCAGTTTTGCTCTTCAAGAAATTGCCGCGCATCGCCCCCCCCCCCCCCCAGCCGTGATTCTGTGAGTTGGAGCCATCGGTTAGCCGACAATTGGCTCCACTGGTGAGTGGCAATTTAGTCAAAACCCAGAAATGTTCAAGTGTTCTAATTATGAAAGCGTTAAAGTCCAGGTCCGTAGCACCAGTAGGCTGCAAGGTGGTCAGGAGATGACAGTACAGCACTAGATATTCTTGAATCCATCTGTGCGGCGCTCTCCTTGTGTACGCTGTTGAATTTTCTCTGGGTACTCTGATTTCCTGCAACGTGAAGCTGAACACTGACCAATGAAAGTGACCAAACGTCTCAGGGCAGGACCCTCTCGAAAAGGTCTTCAGGCTCAGTGAGGCTTTTCTGGGTAACTAAAGGACATTGTTGTGTTCATTGCGTATTTATTTATTCCAAATATAAAGATCACAATCTAGATTTGAAGTTTTCGTGACTGCAGGGATCCATACTCTTTGGTTCTTTCGGTAAAGTCACGTAGTAGGTATAAAATTAAATAAATGTATTTTCAACATTAATTTATTTTATACCTACGTGACTTTACCGAAAGAACCAACGAGTATGTACAGGTATAAAGAGCACAATTCGGGTTTGTTCCACGAACATGGACATTTCTGAATGTCTTGTTAAAAATGATTTTCTCTGATATCATCTAACAATTCAACATCGCTTTTTCTTTGCCAGTGTACACGTGTCTGGGACGATAGATAACGTGACATGTGTCCATTGGGTTTCTACTGTGGCAGCAAGGAGCTTGTGTCTGAGTACTGTGAGTGCTGTGTGTCATGAGTGCTGTGTCAATCCAGCCCGTGCGAATCACGGGGGTTATTGTAACTCGTCTACACTTGACCACGCTGGTCGGCGCGGGTTATGTGTAGGCGGGCAGCACACGAGTACAGCACAACATTGCATTTGGCTGAACTGCCCTCTGTATCCCGTGAAGTATTTCGCAGCAAACTCTTGATTGTTTTGCTTATGCATGGTGGTCTCCCATCTATGCACTATCCAGGCTTAAACCTGCTTGGCTTCTCAGCTCCGATGGGTGGTTTCGCCACCGGCGGCATTCGTGAACGTCGGGCAGAAAATCTGTATGCACTCGGCACACCACGTCCAGTATACCTCTCGGCACCACGGAGACACGACCGGTGACCTGGGAAGAGAATATCGCATGAGAAATTAAGCCCGCTCAACACCATCTCGAGAGAGCAGCAGCATGGTCAGATAAGAGGTGAATTCCTGAGGCTGAAAGCGAAGGTGAAAGGTGGAAACGTAGACTGCGTCCTTGATCAAATATGTTAATAACTCGAAACGCTGCGCCGCCACCGCCTCACAGCGTTCACTCCTCGCTCTCCAAGAGCGAGAGAGAGAGGACGACTCGGAGGCTCGAGGAGGAACCGCAGACGAATGGGCAAGGCAGCAGCAGCCACGCGGTGAGCCGATGCCAACAATTGCCCAAGCTCTGTGCTTCTCGATATATTGAGATGTCTTCAACCAATTGAAGAGCGTTGAGCACCTCGTATTTCCAGGCAGTCTCCCATCCAGTCCCTATCCTGGTTCAAGCCTACTCAGCTTTCAAGATCTGACGAGGTCCAGGCCCATTTAGGTTGCTTCGGTCAGAACATGTACTTATGAATTACTATCGATCACAGCAGAAGCCCCAAAGGCCCAGAACACAACGCGGCCAGCAACAAGCAGCACATTGAAAGTTGTAAGGGCTGAGAGTTGACACGTGCCTTAAGTTGAGCGTGGTTGTTGTTACAAGAGTTCGCGTGAACGGAGACAAGAGTCGGTGGGGTTTGTTTACGTGCACCGTGCGTCTTAGACTGACATTGCAGGGATCGGCCTGCATGCTTTGAGACCGAATTGGCGAAATAAGAAAAAAATGAGAGAGAACGTTACACTTGACATTCAGACCACCGGCTCATGAATGGCAGCGGGCAGATGCGTCGCCAGATAGCGCTGATCAGAACATTTTCAACGCGAGTTTCAGTTTGGTTTTCTTTTTATTTGTTTCTCAAACATTCCGCTCCCAAGTGCCTCGGCAGTCTCGCGGCCTGCCACCAACTCGCCCGAATGTGCCCGGTCGTGTCAAGCTCTTGGAAGCTCAGCAAGTACAAGACACCACTCACCCAAACACAAACAAATGAAACTAAACCATCACAATCCTACCAGGCAAATCCCACTGAGGTATCAACTTATTTTTCAGAAGCGACTCTGGCCCCAAATGATAGCTCAACAAAGTGGCTTATCACGTGGAAATGTCTCGCAGCAGCAACACAATCGAGGCGTCTGGGAGTGCGCGATGTCACAAACACAAAACCGCTGTCACTCGCGGTCGGTTGGGAGAAGTGGGGGGCCCGAGATGGCCACAGGTTCCACTCCCTACCGGTGTTGCTGGCTGTCGGCTCCGGCGGGAATCGAATTCGGGGATTGGTGGATCACGGTCGGGGTGGAAGGGTTTTTTTTTTATCACGGTTGCTGGGAACAGGCCCACAGTGTCCAACGGCCAGCAACAAACGGCACGATTTAAGATGTAGTAGGAAAGCTTTTACACGTTTCTTGAACTGAGCAAGGTCCTTGTAAGAGCAGGGGTAAAAAGACGACAATGACGGGAGAAGAATCCCAAAGTAGAGCAGTGTGGTGAGTGGGTGAGTGTGTTGTTGTGACGTGCAGTGTGGTGAGTGGGTGTGTTGTTGTGACGTGCAGTGTGGTGAGTGGGTGAGTTGTTGTTGTGACCTGCAGTGTGGTGAGTGGGTGTGTTGTTGTGACGTGCAGTGTGGTGAGTGGGTGAGTGTGTTGTTGTGACCTGCAGTGTGGTGAGTGGGTGAGTGTGTTGTTGTGACCTGCAGTGTGGTGAGTGGGTGAGTGTGTTGTTGTGACCTGCAGTGTGGTGAGTGGGTGAGTGTGTTGCTGTGACCTGCAGTGTGGTGAGTGGGTGAGTGTGTTGTTGTGACGTGCAGTGTGGTGAGTGGGTGAGTGTGTTGTTGTGACCTGCCGTGTGGTGAGTGAGTGTGTTGTTGTGACCTGCAGTGTGGTGAGTGGGTGAGTGTGTTGTTGTGACCTGCAGTGTGGTGAGTGGGTGAGTGTGTTGTTGTGACCTGCAGTGTGGTGAGTGGGTGAGTGTGTTGTTGTGACCTGCAGTGTGGTGAGTGTGTTGTTGTGACGTGCAGTGTGGTGAGTGGGTGAGTGTGTTGTTGTGACCTGCAGTGTGGTGAGTGGGTGAGTGTGTTGTTGTGACCTGCAGTGTGGTGGCAGAACGCACTGTGGATGAGATGGAACAGGCACTCTGGTAGACCGAGTTCTCAACATGGGTGGAGGGATCCATGGGTGAAATTCATGAAATCAGTGACAATGGTAACACTAGCGATAGAAGAGTGATGAGGAGGCGACTGGTCACTGGAGAGCGACTGACCGATGTGAATTGGAGTGCTGGCCTCTCACTGGCCTCTCACTGGCCTCTCACTGGCCTCTCACTGGCCTGTCACTGGCCTCTCACTGG